TTGAAAGACATGTTCATCACACTGTTGGAGTTATGGTTTGGGGTGCTATAGCTTATGGTTCCAGGTCACCTTTAATCTTCATCAGAGGTAACATGAACGCGCAGCGTTATATCCACGAAGTTCTAGAACCCCATCTTTTACCCTATCTTGGCACCCTGGCAGATCCAACTTTCCAACAAGATAATGCCCGACCACATGTTGCAAGAGTCACAATAGACTTCTTTCAACATAATGATGTCACATTGTTACCATGGCCACCAAGATCTCCCGACTTATCCCCAATTGAGCACGTGTGGGATATGATGGGTAGGAGATTGCTCAATTTGCAACGTCCTCCTCAGACTCTAGAAGCACTTCGAGAGGAGTTGGTGGTTGCCTTGAATGAGATACCACAGGAGGATATTGACCACCTGATCAGAAGCATGCCTAGGTGCGTTGGAGAATGCGTAGCACATCAGGGTGCATCCACACATTATTAAAGGTCAAAGGGCTTTAAAGCAGTGCAATCATTTTGAAATTTTTATCATTATGCTTCATTAAGTACTTATACAAGATTTTATTAAAGTAAAACCATTTAAACTGGGTATTCGGATTTATATGTCACTTAGTATAGTTCAATTTACATTAGATATTGATACAAATTAACTTAACGCCTGAGGCTACTATAAATGTTGGTATATACCATCCATAAAACTGCACAAGCATTTTACGCAAAGTATTATATTACGACACCGACAGTCTATTCTCAAGGAACAGATTTGCAATAATTTGATAAAGTCACCAAAACGGAGCATAGCATAATTGCAACGATCGCATCAATTAAAACTATTATGAGCTTTGAAGTCTTAAACCTCTAAGCCAAACAGTTTGCTCACTTTACCGAAGAAAATTGAAGTTATAATCGTAGCGATTATTTCAAGTTGCGCCCTTAGCGACTGCAGAGCTGTTGACGATGCGCGTCTTGAGAATTTTGGTGAAAACTTTGTCACGTTCTTGAATTGGAATATCCATCAGCTACAAAACCATATTGAGGCTTCTGGCCACATTCGATGAGGTTTCGTTGCTTGACCCATTTTCGACCATTTTGAATAGAATATTAAGTATTGTTTTTTGAATGTTATTTGAAATGTACAGTAAGAAAGATCATGTCAGTCATTTCCGTCGGACCATCTGTCCACTAATGCTTGATCCGTCTGAAATTAAAGAAGTATGGTTTTTACGAAATTTTCACATAAGAATAATCCAATGCCTAGCTTTATAACTTTTTTAAATAGGAACAGTGGAGGCAGAGCTACAGACTCAAATCTAAAAAAAAAGTATGATAATCGCTAAAACTTTGCTTTTTGATGTTTCAGAGGATCTTGGGAATCAGCAGAACATTTTTTGCACGAGTCCAAAGTTGGCCATTAGGGGTTTGTTGCTGGGGGTGGGGGTAGTATATGTCAATCTTATCACATTTGCCGTTAGAACATTGATGGAAATATATTTTTAAAAAACGCGTATCGGACAACTCAACAAACGCCAGTCTGTCTGCTTCAATTGCCACGGGATAATTCATTATCTTATCCTTTTAGCGATGATGCGTGTATACCCAACTAGCAAAGTAGTGGTATACGCTTTTGGTAAAAGAACCGTTCAGACATAAAAGCTCTCTATTGTTGTTGCCTGAACACCAAAATGCTGGCTTAATGTTGTGTGGAATGCAAATTTGCTTTCTGCAACATATTTGCTCTAAAATGAGGTGTTTAAAATATTCTTATAGCATAGTTATGCAGCACCTTATAGGGCAAATTTTTAACTGTTACATAAACGTTTATACAACTATTTTATGCGGCATATTTGCAAGTAAGTCAAAATGGATGTGTTGTGGCACCCATGCTAACGTTTATAAAACAAACCCGAGGCTTGTTGCTTTGCTGTGCAATTTACTACATTAGCCAACAAAATGCTCCCCACGGAAGCACTTATACAACTGTTACATATGCTAAATATGTTGGTAAACAACTTCACCATAACCTAACTTTCTGCTGTCAAATTTTTGTTAAAATGCGATAACCAATGTTTTAAGACAAACAACGCATGCATATTGGTTCAAAAGGTTTTATCAACTGTTCAAACAGAAGATATAGATCTGGTACAAATTTTGGGTAAATCATTCAACTCTGTCGGTATTTCATTTCAGACATTTGTCAAATTGTTGTATAACACCTGCAGGCAACACCAAAATATTCTAATAACCTAAAGACAACATGGACGATGTCATGACTGTACTCAACCACCCGCCATATTGGGCAAACATTTATTCCTCTATTTAATATTAAATAATTATGTTTCAGTTCGAAATTACAGATATAAAGTGATAAGCATTAGTGTAATTGTGTCTAAATATAGGACTTGTGGAAGATTTAACGCAGATGTTCAGTTTTCCATCTTAAAAATCTAGACATACTTTTGATCATTGTCAAAATATGAATCAAATACGAAGCCCGTAGAAATTGGGTATCTAATTTGCACGATAATCACAATAAAATTTGCTGCGCAAGCAATTCAATAGCCCTATTTCAAAGTGCAGAAGCTTATCATATCCCTGTGTATGAAATTCACAATGGCCGATTTGTAAGTAAACAAGATGACTGTAATGTGTTAGTTATATCTTCTTCACTTCGTCTATAAAATACATAGGAAATAGTTTGGTTGCAATAAAGTAGAATCACGTAAGAGAATAGTTGTATAGTTGACAAAAACTGAATCTTGCACTGACGCAAATGTCCTATAGCGGCTGCAAGAGGCTTACACTTTTGTTTTATAACTGTTACCTGCAGCCCTTATACAACCCCTTAAATGACTGAAGTGTCCTATTAGGTGTGCCCATTCCGCTTGTATAGCTGTTCTAAGAGCGTTTTGCCAATGTTTTTACAGTATACAATGCTGTTTAAAGAATACTGTATAATCATTCTTCCAACTCTAATAGGAGTGATAATTGTTAGTTGGGTATATACATATATATACAGGGTGGCGCATCGAAAACGAAACAGACGCATTTACTGGCAGCTCAGTTTTTTTTTTGAAAAACGCTCAGGCCTGTCGATTTTGTTTTCGAAGGGGACACAAGTTTGGCAAAAAGTCACGTTAACACGTGCAGCTCCCTGGGCGGGGGTGACACCAACAATAAAACCTTAAATGGAAAGGGGGGTCGAGTGATACCCTATTTTAAAGGTCTTTAAATTCCCTTTATAATGATATAAAATTAATGTACTTCAGTTCAGTAGTTTTGAAGATTTATTGATTTAAAGCTTAAATAAAACTAATACATCATTAGTCGAGATCAATACATTTGGCAGCAAAGTAATTTAAAAATGAAGAATGAACTGACCCGTTAGGCAAGTAAATGTTGAAAATGGCCACCATCACTCTCCATGAAATAATAAAGATTTCGCTCAAAACGTTGCCGCACATTTTGCAATATTTGAGGAGTAATTTGAAGCCACTCATTCAAAATTCTTTGTCGCAGGTTTTCTAATGATGTTGGCTGAGTAGCATAGATTTTGCCTTTTAAATGACCCCACATAAAGAAATCAAAAGGTGATAAATCTGGCGATCTTGGGGGCCATTCAATGGCACATCATCTACCAATCCATCGATCTGGAAACGTCTGATCTAAATATTGTCGAACACGTAATGCGTAATGTACCACCGATCATTCTGATTTTCAATTATGGCTGTTAATGCAGGATCTATGGCGGCTTCCAGTAATTCCAAATACATTTCACCGGTCAAATTTCCAGGTAAGAAAATAGGACTAACTAAATGATCGCCAAAAATACCAGCCCAAACATTTAATTTTTGTGGCTGCTCTGTATGAATCTCATGATAAATTCTGGGATTAGAATCGGACCAATATCGGTAGCTATGACGATTTACTACGCCATTTGAGAAAAAGGAACATTCATCGGAAAAACAAGTGTTGAATAGAAAATATTCGTCGCTTATAATTCGTTCACTCATATCTTCACAAGATTGTAATCGCCGATCAAAATCGTCTTCAATAAGCTCTTGTACCAGGTATACGGATGAAAACTATGGGCCTTTAGAATCCGTTGGACAGTACGTCGACTAATACCACACAGAGTCTCCAATTTGCCGGTACTTAACGTAGGATCTACATAAACTTGCCCTAAAACCCCCACCTCTATTGATTCGTTCCTTATGGGATTTTCAATGTTGCGTTTTTTATTGGCGACTGACCCGGTTTCCCGAAATTTAGCTACAAGTTCTAGAACATATTTTCGATGCACGTTACTGTTCTCATGTCGCTCATTAGATATTTCTGCTGTTCTATTAGCCCACTGTTTATTTCCGAAAAATATTTCGATAGCTTTGACTCTTTCTGCTGTGGAATATACCATGGTTTCTTCAAGAAATAACTTTTTAGCCACCAAAAAAAACGCTCCAATAGCTATTTTCAACAACAAAATGATAAACAAACCATGGGCGTAGTGGAGAAAAGCATTTACTTATTAAGTAAATGCTTTTAGTCAGATTTCTTCTGAAAGCAGTACAAACTAATCTGATGTACCTATTAAAATCTACTTTAAGGTTTAAATCAATAAATCTTCAAAACTACTGAACTGAAGCTCATGTATTTTACATCATTATAAAGGGAATTGAAAGACCTTTAAAATAAGGTATAACTCGACCCCCCTTTCCGTTTAAGATTTTAGAGTTGGTGTCACCCCCGCCCAGGGGTTGCACGTGTTAATGTGATTTTTTGCCCAACTTGTGTCCCCCTCGAAAACAAAATCGACGGGTCTGAGTGTTTCTCCAAAAAAAAAACTGAGCTGCCAGTATATGCGTCTGTTTCGTCTTCGATGCGCCACCCTGTAGGGTAATTCTAGGACAGATAGCTCATCAGGTGAGTTGGTCCACCGTCAATATCTCCACAAATGTATGAAAGACCGATACTTTGGCAACACCGGCAGCCATTTAGTATTGCGTCATATGCTGTGTCAGCCGCAGTTAGTAATTGAACGTTTTATTACAGTAGAATTACAATAGAAGTGGTGGTTATATGTACGATTTTTTTTTTGACAAAGTATTAAAATTTCGTGAGAGGTACGTATTGTTATTTTTTGCAAACAATTGCAAATTCATCGGGTAGTATAAGGCCTGGCGGCATTCCTAACCTAAAATTAAATTGTTATTCGCATGTATAACTTAACGCCGAAGTGAGCCATCTATCCTTGTAACATTAGGTGAGTTGCTAAGAGAGGAGAGATGGCTCAATTACTTAACATGATTTTAATAGTTATAAACTCTTTTGCAGTTAAAATGCCTACCGAATATAAATGCAAAGGTAGTGTTTGTCGAGGGGAATGGTCAGAACAAGATTTACAACAAGCTATAGAGGCTGTACAAGAAGGTAGAGTAGGTGTTCGAGAAGCCGTTCGTTCCTTTGGTGTGCCATACACAACACTTCGACGACGCTTGAGAAGTGGCAATCATAGAAAGCTTCCGTTGGGACCATTATCTACTTTAGGACAAGAAAACGAAGTTAAATTGGTCAATCATATTAAAAAACTTTAAAAGTTTGGATTTTCGCCATCACGAACAACTGTACGCTCTATGGCATTTGAATTAGCCCAGAAATTAAATCTCCCACATAAATTCAATATTGAAAGACGTATGGCAGGATATCCATGGCTCGAGTCATTTTTAAGGCGCAATAAGGATCTAGCAGTGAGAAAATCCGAAGGTATGTCAGCTGCTCGTTGTTTAAATATGAATAGAGAAGTTGTGGCATCTTATTTTAACCTATTGGAAAACACTCTGATAGAATATAATTTAATTAACAAACCAGCAAGAATCTACAATGTAGATGAGACAGGTCTACAAATGAACAACAAACCAGGCTTTGTTATAGCTCAGAGAGGTTCAAAAAACGTATCGGCAGTGACATCAGCAGAAAAAGGCAAAACAATCTCCGTAATAACATCTTGCAATGCGGAGGGGTCATTTATACCACCAACGTGCATCTTTAAGGGTAAGAATCAGAAACCAGAGTTTGCCGATGGTATGCCACCAGGCTCCTTAGTATTCATGTCTGAGAAATCAGCTTATGTCAATAATGTTTTATTTTTGAGGTGGCTTAAAGAACAGTTTGTCCCAAGGAAACCTCCGGGATATGTTATGTTAATCCTCGATGGACACTCATCGCATTGCAGCAGCGTAGAGACACTAGAATATGCTTCTGAAAATGAAATAATTTTTGTGTGTCTACCTAGTCACACAACTCAATTTCTTCAGCCTCTAGACAGAGGAGTTTTTAAGTCACTAGAGGTGTTTTATTATGAAGAATGTAATGCTTTCATTAGAAGAAATCCCAATCGACGCATTAACAGATTGATTTTTGGACAATTACTCGCTGCAGCTTGGGAGAAATCAGCAACTATTAAAAATGCGGTTTCATCTTTCAGAGCTACAGGAATTGTGCCTTTCAATCCGTCTGCGATTCCAGATTACGCTTATCTTACTGACAAACCTCAGGGAGCTTCACCTAATGAACCTGAATCTCAAGTTTTACCGAATGGTGAAATATCTCTTGACAATAGAAATGAATCTGCTCAGGATTCATCTATTATTGAAATATTGGAATCGGTAGTGAATGATTCAGCTGGACCATCTGATATGAAGACACCTGAGAAAGAAATAGATACCCCTGGAAAAATACTGGACAAAATTAACCCGATTCCTATCACTGAAGCAGTCTCTTCTGCGAGGAAGAGAGGTGGACAGTTGGCTTCTGTCTTGACTAGCAGCGATAATATTAGAAATAAGAAAAATAAACTAGAAGAAAAATTACAGGCTGAGGCGAAGAAACGGAAAAAGAAAGAAAACAAGAAATGCATTAAACCAGGCCCTAGCCGTCAAAGTAAGTCTAAAAAACGGAAGCAATCTACATCTTCTTCTTCTGAAGAAGAAATAATATGTGATGATTCCTCGGAATACGAAGATGAAACAAGTAAATGCGGTGGTTTCGGAGATTTTTATTCCACCACCACAAAAATGGATGACTGGATTCAGTGTGTGACGTGTTCCAGATGGGTACATGAAGGGTGCACCAGATTTGACAATTTTTGTGATGCATGTGGAAAGTCGCAGCAATAATGAACTACTATATTTACTAGTTTTTGAATCGAGCCATCTCACCGAATACTATGGGCCAACTCACCCATATATTAAAGGAGAGATGGCTCAGTCTGATATTTTATTTTTTTCGCTTTTTTGAGAATAAAATTTAAGTTTGATTATTTTTTCTGTTGTAATAATATTCTTCATTGTAAGCCTGGTTTAACCTAAGTTATTAAATGATTTTTCTGGGGTATAATAAAGATGTTATGTTGATTTGTAAAATGGTGGGCCATCTGCCCTAGAATTACCCTATATATATATATATGTATCGTCGTGCTGCGACGTCACGTTGCTGGGGAGTCGGTATTGTTAGTAGGATGGTGGGATAGATCTCAATGCTGTCAAACCTGTCGAGACTAGAGGCTACTTTTACGAGGCAGTTTGACTCACTTGATTCATTTACCTCCTTTGTTATACGTGTTCGTAGCTAATTTTTGTCTAAGGAGAACGGACTTGTGTCGAATAGAATCCTTCATGAATTGATGAGAGCATTGAGCAGGAAGTACATAGCCAATCTGCTTGTCGCCCAAAATGCCGATGAAGTGATCACCACTGCAGTTATTCTAAATATACCTGTTCCCGCTTATCGCGTACATGGAGGAACGAACGTCGAAAACCCAGACGGGAAGGAATCCGGTTTCTTTACTTTGGTGGTAAACTCTGGCATCTGCGTGCTCTTGCATTTATTTTCGTTCATATCAAGCTTCCCTGGTACAAAAGCGATGCCCAGTAATTGACGCCGTAGTGCAAAAAGCATGGAATGGCAGTAATTCATTTCATTAGGCTGCGACATTAGCGATTAATCAAATTTGAATGCACATCTGCGATAGACGCTTGAACGCTGCATTATAAAACTGCAGTAATAACTGCAATTAACATTATTGTCAGCTTTGTGATCTGCAAACGTTGCGGTCGATTTATCAAGGGGAAAGAAGCTCTAATTGTCGAGTTGGCTAGACACATAACCAACATTTAGAAATTAGTCTCAGGCCTTTTGTTCCATCATAACTGATCATTCTTTCTCTGGTAATTCCTTGTTGATTACGGAATTGTGTTATACCTCTAACCATGATACAGGAGACCAACGCTTCAAGACGACGGAGATGAAACTTCAACATCAAATAGTTTTACTAGTTTTCGGGGCTTTCTCTGATAGTTATTGACGATGTATAAATGCATCCATTTCCGGGAAGATGACGTCCAGCTACTAGCTCAGTTACCGTCTCATCTTCTTTATGTCCTTCGTACTTTTTAGGCAAGTTTACCTTGCTTGCGTTTATCAAAGCATCGAAAATTCACATAAAATACCCTATTGATTCTGCATGGAAGTTGAGCATGAACAGAAAAACAGATGATAGATACACTAATTAATGAACCGGATGCATTCAACATTGTTAGTGCAGTACCTTCCTTGACTGAAGCACATACACCAATAGGGCATGGCTTCGTACAGTCTAATATGTAAATGGCCAGCGCATTCAAAAGCAAAAGCAGCCTAGCTGAGGCAATATTTCATCGTTTTGCCTCTATTCCGAATTGAACGATATCGGAAAACATTTAAACTAATGATTTACGGGCTTCCGCTAGAAACAAAACTGCTGGAAGAAACGCCGTAAAACGTCGGGGCCTTTGAGGAATACACTGCTCACAGCATGATGGAAATTTGAATAAATGGCCACCTCCGATGTTCGAATTTTGCTGAAAAGCCTTGGGGTCCTGTCAGTGCAACTACTTCGGCTTCTATGGAAATATTCTTCATATTTTGTATTCCGTAATAGAGGAAGAGTAACCAGTCTAGACCACATCATTCATGGACGGTTGCATCGCCTTGCTAGGGTCAATCAGACCCTAACACCCATGTTTTTGATTGTTGCACCTGATACACTTAAACCTTGAGTGAAACTCAAAAAGGCCGTCCATTTAAGAATTCCTTTGCGTTAGATGGATTTTATAATCTAAAATGTCGACTTGCCAGGTGAGATTTTTATGATTCGACCTACTGACCGCTGTCTATCAAGTTCTTGGTGAATTTAGAACTGCCAGTTTACAAGGTGTTCCAGAAATAACCGGCCATAGTGACAAAGGAAGTAGATTGGCTGCAGATCAATCAGATGAAATCAACGTGACCTTAGTAAAAGTTTTCTAGTTTTCGAGATATTGATTCTTTTTCAATAAATAACGCATTTTTTGCTATATGGCTATAAAGAAGTTCTAACTTGCTTTGTTTTCCTGGGCTACCATTGGTAGTTGCTTGAGTATTCATTTCATTGAAAACCAGCAGGGTATGCGGAAAAAAATTATTAAATTTTGTTTCAATGTGAAAACCTTTACTAAAGTTTGAGTAATTACTGTGAGAGAAAATGTACCAGACTGAATCTGCAAATGAGCTTAAAAACTTGAATTTTTAAAAAGATGCAAGTTGTGCATAAGAGTCTGTGGTAGACATTTTAAAAATTTGTTGTGAAAATAATAATAGTGTGATAATAATAATTTATTTCAGGCACTATTTACTGCTAATTTCATTTTAATTTAGTTGATTTAAGATGCTAATAATGATTGATAATTCTTTATTTGCTTTGAATGACGTAACAATCAATGTAAAAAAATAAAGCCTAATGTTTTGTTCATTATCCTGATGCCTGCAACGAATAAAAAAGGATAATGATAGCTGTTTTAGACATATGATAAAATAAAAAGTTATTATACCAACTACAAATTTGTACTCAAAAGAGAGCTGCACTTATTATTTTTTATTTGTAGTAGTGACAAAAGTGGAAATTATTCAGTTTGTAGTAAAAACACCTACAATTGTTATAACATGTTTGAAAACGCATTAAATAGCTATAGACTAAAAAGCTTTTACTATGGTCATGTTGATTGCATCTGGTTGATCTGAAGCCAGTCTATCTCCCGTGTCACTCTGGCGTGTTATTTCTGGGACACCCTGTATAAAGTTATCTCCATTAAGTTATAAAGAAGTCACGTAACGATAGAATAGCTAGTCATCAGAAACAACAAAATATATATTTCACCGGATTGTTTGATTAACTTTTAGGTACGGTCAAGAAGCATTTATGATATATATTGTGTTAACAGCAGCAAATACCAAAATGATACAGGAAAGAAATCATTTTCAATCTAAATACTAATACATCTGATTATTTCACTGGACTATAACTTTGGTGTGGAAGAGAAAAGACAGCACCAAATAATTTATAGTTGCAGACTCAATCTTCTCAAAAAGTTTCTACAGACCTACTGACATTGGGATTACCGTTGCCAAGTGGTTGTGAGAAAGGCGGTACAATCGGGTACTGGACTCTTGTACATGATAACTCGCCACCCTAAACTATTGAAGTAGGTAGTGGCACCGGAGTTTGACTTGCATTAGCCTCAGAAGACCAATCTTTCCGCAGTATGAATACATACTTACAGGGCAGCTGAGCAATCGTAACTCGACTGTTTCATCTTTCTGTTTAGATCACCTATAGAATGTGTCAGTTTCACAAACCAGCATGGTGTAGACAGGTAGACATGCTTCCTTATCTGGTAGTATCCATGTGCGATGCTAGTA